CAGCCGGCGAGTCAGTCATGTGGGCCGAGAGAATTCGCCGGTTCGAAGGCGTGCGTTCGGTACCGGGACGGCCTCGTGGTACGCATACACCAACGATGCCTCTATTCGATGTATCGGTGCGTAGAGAGACTCGTATCCATCTCTTTCTCTCTCTATCTTTTATGAGTACTCGAAAAGGCCTCTTATACATGTGCGCGCTGATGTCAACGCCTGGTGGGTCGCCGTGCCCGACGCTGGTTTTATTTAATCACGCTGCTCTGCCCGGCTGCCGGCAGGCCTGTTGCTAGGCACCCTTCTCCGTCCTACCTCCTACCTCCTTCCCTCGAGCGCGGGGCCCTCCGCGACATGCCCCGCCCCTGTCTGCACCCCCTCCACTCGCTCGTTTCCCGAACATTGCCATCTCTGTCTGTCTGTCTGTCTGCTGTGTATATCCATATACACGTTTTCTTTTTGTAACGATGTGTAAATCGCTGCGTCTCTCTTCCATTTCGTACATTACTGAACACTAGAGCATGGTCATTGGAAAATCTTCTATTTCATGGTGAATCTCTCTATCTGTTCGTTTATCTTTCTTTTTCTCTCAAACTTGTGTGTATTCACGTATGTGCTTTGTGTACGTGTGTGGTCTCTTCTGGCCAGTATGCAGCTGCTTTCAACGTCGCGGTCTGCCGATTCGTGGTTTTACGGAGATTGCTGATCCTAGGATTTTCCAATTACCCTCATATCGCATTGCCGCGAGTTCTCATTATTGGGAGTATTTAATCAAAATAAAAGTATGTTTTTTTTTAGAATTTTCATACATTGTTTTGTATGTATTGGAAGTTCAGAAACTTTGGAATCGTATAATTTTTTGCATTAAAGATTTTATTTCATTCTTCCTTTACGTTCTTTTATAATCATACATTTTGATATTTATGTAGTTATGTGTTTATGTAGTTATATCTTTCTCTGTATCTACCACATCAACGGAATATTGGTATCGAGCTCGTCCAGATGCGTAACTTTCCTAAGAATGCGGGACAACGATATACAGCACGACCAGAATAAAACGCATTTCTTTGTTCGGATTACATTCTCTCTTTTACATGCGTGTCGTGTATATACTTGGAACACCTCCCCCTTTCTGACAAAGAAGCTGACTGTAACCAACGCGATCAGGATGCACATAGATGAAACGAGTTTTCAGTGAGCATTTAATTGGAATGTTTTTGCAATGAAGCATTTAGATCAACATTAATTTATTAACCTTTTAAATGGAAATGAAAGATGGATAAAATTTTAAAATTTCGAATAACAAATATAATATTTTCATACATAAAAGAATTTTGAAAATATCTAATGAATTAAATAAAAATCTTTGAAGATAAATTTTTCGTTGGTCTCTTCTCGAATATTTTTCTATAGTCTCGATACACGCGTAGACTCCATCTGGACAAAACGAACGGAAATGGTATGTGAATCTCGATGACGTCAACCATCGCGTTATGAGAAAGAAAGGAGAGTGTATATTTAAGTGGAAAGAGAGAGGATCGCGTTAGGGAGGGGGATAGTGAAGAAGAAAGGGAGAAAGAAAGAGAGAAAATGGCGAAATAGCTTGGCTAAAAAAAGAAAGAAAAAAAGAAGAAAAAGAAAATTCCTAGATCTCTTTCTTTTTGCAGCCGGTTTCGCATAGACGTCCTTGAAATTCGTGAGATCGGAGAACAATCGACTATGGGCGTTCATCCGTGCAGGATGGTCCAGTGGCGCCGACTAGTCTCGATTGCGCCCCTCCATATCCATCTCGTACTTCGTTAAGGACCCCTCCATTCGGGGAGGCAGGTTTAGTTTAAGGTCTTCTCTGTCGTTTGCTCTCTGCTCCTGCTGGCTATCGTGAACCATTCCGACCGTCAAGGACAGTTCAGTTCAGTGTCGGGTAAAGAGGGTCAGGCACGTAGACGAAAACTTTCAAGGGCAGACGAGACCCCTCGATTCTCGCTGTCGCGTAAATTCTCCGCCTGTGCTGTTGGATCGTTTGTTCATATGTGTATGTGCTCGTATATGTGTCTCTTCTCTTCATCTTCAGTAAGTCTTGATTCGGAACCATTGCACAGTGGATTCTCTTGGCAGGAATTTCTTTCTTTTCTTCTTCTTCTTTTTCTTCTTCATATCGACTGACTCATCATCTCGAAATTAACCGATTTTGTACTGGTTCGGATATAATTAAAGATACGATTTCTTGATAAATACTTTGTTCGCCTTCCTACTGTGCAATCGTTTGCAATGCTACAACGTTTACAATGAAAGAATCATTCTTTGTCTTGTGCACAATTATCGATTTCAGTTTTTTTTTTTAAATATGGATATTTATCATGGGATCACTTATTTTTGACGTGTAAATTAAAATGAGAAATAAGTAAAAGTTTCTTGTTGTTTTTAATTTATATATATTAAAGTATTTTGCCTGACTTGCGGACTTTTTGTAGAAAAAAAGAGAAAAAGAAGCACGATGAACTACTCAAGACTACTCTCTCATTTTATTTTTGATTTATTGAATATTTTCCAATATTTTAAAAGAAATAATAATCGTCGATTCCTGTGAATTTCGCTCGTGTGATTCTCAAGCAGTAACCGATCACTCCTCCATATTTGAGGAAGGAGTGTAGGCTGAAAGAAACCCAAGTGAAATGATAGACGATGTGTGCGCGGAAAGAAGCATCGAGAGAAGAGAGAACGGCTATTTTTAACTTTCTGCCAGTCTTTTTCTCTCTCTTTCTGCACGTTTTGGAACACTCTGCGTTCCTCTCGTTCAAACAGCAGTGATGTATCGACTAGTCGAATTCTTGAAACTCCTATTTAAATTATTGAAAATATTGTGAATCAGAAATCATATTGAAATACGTAAGTCTTTCTCAAATGATTTTATCACATGATATTTCTCAATTCATATATTTTAAATGGAATTCGTGAGCAAGATGATAATAAGTTCTCTTCATCAATGTTATTTTGTCATTATTGATAATCTCCGACCAAATCTCAAGTAATTAATGTATCAATATCTTATTAAAACTTTATTCTTCTTTAATTTGTTGGATTTTTCTTTGTCCTTGAAATGTAAATAGAATAGATATATCGAACATCATTATCGATTTAGTATAAGAAAAATAGGAATTCAATGGTAAAGTTCTATTTATTTCTCGCGCAAATTCACACTATGATTATCTACATGCAAGAAATTTAGTAGATATCTCTAATTTCTTACTAGTTTTACCACTTACGAGAATTTCGCATTCAGTTGAAATTGATATCATATGCGATAAATCGACTTTATACTTAATTGATGTTAAACATGTTAACAGTATTTATCATCCATAATGTAAGACTTAACAGAATATTATTTCATTTCCATTTAACATTTTCTTAATAATACCATCAAGATTATCTATTATAACTAAAATTCAAAAACATAAAAATCTCACAACTACGGCTTCGAAATCAATATAATCGACCTTTTCCCGTCATTATGTCAACGGAAGTTGACAGAAAACAAACGTCGGATAATGGAATTTTCCATTGTTCCAGTGTCGAGTTACATCAGCAAATATTGTCCAAAATCGAGCTGCCTACTCGAAGAACTACGCAGCGTTCCTTTCAAATAGGAATCGATTAGTAAACGTGTAACGGCCAAACGAGACGCGAAAGAATGTACGATTCGCGAAAACAGTCGCATTGCCGTTAGATGAGTCACAATTCTCGACAAATGCCTCTGTTCAACGAATGCATCGACTTTCACGGATGTGTATAACCGCGCGAGTTGGTCTCTTCTACGGAATCTTGACTCATCCACCGGACTTATAGCGGAAGTTTCTTAACGGTCGTGACATAGGCTCATTCTGCACAGGAGGTATATAAGTACATGGTCTCGACGTCAGACTTCCGGTAAAGATTATGTCGAAGTCGAAAGGTCTGTTTTACTCGTTAAGTGGGTTCATCGAACGTGTGTACGCGATCGATTTTACATCGTACTATCGGACTCTGATTTTACGCACTGCACGCTTTAAATTCCAGCAGAAGCTCAGTTGATGAGGAAAAAGTTTCATTTATTGGTAAAGGTTCGATACTGGATCGATACCGATATTAGATACCGGTAAAGAGACCACCGAGCTAGTTATCGCGGACAGGGTGCAACCGGTTTTGTACTTTGGTCGACGAGAAATAATTGCGAGACATGAAGTACGAATTCACTTGGTATAGAGATTCAGACAGCATTCAAGCAATCGAGATTATCGATGGCGTATAGTATGTTAGATGGTAACAATGTCGGAAGGAGTGGCGGCGGCGTTATTGGCGTCGATGAAGCCGAAACACGAATCGGGGATCGCAGAAATGCCATTCAGTCGGCTAACAATGGATCGATGCATTCTCTATCGAATAACGAGGCATTCAAACGACAACTAGTGGTATTTTCGCGTAGTTGATACGACGGATCATGGCTTGTCCTTTCGTCTCGATAAAATTCGTTCGCTTAAAAAATTCGCTAGAAAAATTTGCGTGTCTAAAATATGCCGGTGGTGCAATATTCTAATTATCCGCATAACGTTCGTGACTGTATCAGTGATCAAAGGCCCGATGAATATCTTTGAAATAACCCATCGTGAGGAATAATACTGCAGTTTAATATCGAAGTGCTTGGAGTACGATTTTTTATATTACGTACACTTATCGGAAACATCACGACAATGTTATTATTTAAAATCGCCGCTTAGGTAAAGTTTAGATTAGACTAGGGAGTTTATCGATTAAATATATCATGACTTTTTATGGGAATATTTCGGTAAAATAAAAATTAAACACATCTATATTTTAAATTATCTTAAGTCGATCGAGAGTATCGGAAGGGAAATTTTTGAAAAATTTCTGCGTGCAATTGGTAATGAGAATAAAATGTGGAAAATTTTCTAGAAAAGATCTCTTATTATTAATACAATTATATTTATTAGTATGTACGCAAAATACTTAAAAATTCCATTTACTTAAGTGTTTTTGCATTTTTCATTAAAGTAAAATGATGATGACGATCATATCATCATATTTGTAACTTGTAATTGTGATACTATTTATCGTACTATGATTGTATGTTAGTGGTACGATAAATAGAGAGAGAAAGAAGAGTAGTTGGAAGAGAATTTCCAACGAAAAAGACGAACAGTTACACACGTCGTACTGTATGTAGTGGTGTAAACGTGGTGGTTGCCTTCTTGGTTGCCGGCGTCTGCAACCTTGCCCTCTTCCATCCCTCCCCTCTGACTTTCATCCCCTCCATACACCCTGCAATCCATTCGATCCTTTCCCCTTATCTCGATCCAACGCTGTCGCGGTTCTCTTCTTTCTTCCCTCCCACCCTCTGTCTGGCTCCTTCGCTTTGATTCATCGAAGTCCTCGCCCCTCGCCTCTTACCCCGCAATCGTCGACGTTTCCCGGCCTATTATCGTCACTCGTCGACGAAGAACGGGAAAGAGGGAACGCGACGGGAAGCAAGAGGGGAGACTTTCCTTTACCTCCACCAACGAGTGTAGGAGTTTCAATGTCACGATGCGTCGGCCACTGCGAAGGAACTACCGCTCCAGGAATATTACCATTCATCAGATTCGTGTAATCTCCGTGCACGTTTCGCGTCGCCTCGTTGTTAATTGGCTTATACATTCCTTCGCGTCTTTCATTTCGTTTGAATTTCTTTCTTTCGTTTCCTTTCTTTTGTAAGAAGAAATCGGACGACAAAAATAGTCCTCTTCAATTTAGTGTTCGGACAGTTCTACTTTATTGTTGGAAACGATTGAAACGTGTTGCGCATTAACAATTTGATTTAAAGGTGGTAAAATTGTGCGAAATTATCAACTTGAATCTTATCTTTTATTGACTTTTGTGAATTTCTCAACTATCTTCCAATTATCAAGAAGTTTCTGTAACAGATGATATGAGTTTAATCATCGATATTATACGTTAATATTTGTGTGAAAAGTTTATATTACTAAGCAGTGATATTTTATGTGACAAGTTTAGATTAGCAATTATCATTGTGAAAATTGAGCGTATAATTTGTTAGAGATCCAAAATGCAACGTGGATTTATGAGGGAATTATACGAAAGTGTATAATGTTGTGTAACGATTGCGAGAAGAGAAATCTAGTAAGTAAGTAAGCATCGAGTATTAGAGACTTTGATCGTTTCTTTATACGTGTTTATTAAACGTTTTTCTTTCGATGACGTTCCTTCGAGACATTTACAACAACTCCTGTCATCAATCGGTTTATTTATGCAACGAATTAACTGGAATATCATAATGTAACAAGTATGTGTCGATATATGTCTGACGTGTCGAGTAACGATGAGTAACGTCATGTATAATTCTTATTGGGACGCCAATGGAATCCTAACCTATACGTGGATTAATATCAACCAAGTTTATTATAAATTTATGAACTTTTTCGTATAATATAAATTTTATTTTATAGTATTAAAAGATATATAATTTTAATAATGTTTTATAATTATTATTTACATCACAAAAGAAAATATTTCTAAGAATAGCGTATTTCACTTAAAATTTTTCTGTCCGTTTTCCGAATATCTTTTGTCAGCTTATTTGAACAAAATTTTAGAAGTGAATTCCATATTTATTCAAGCTAAAAAAAGATATCTGGAGGTACCTTTTACCTTTTAAATCACGTCATGTCTCATAGAAAAAATTTTAGAGATTTTAGAAAATTTTCAGCTACCTGCCACAATACATCTGCCTGTCAAGTTTCCTTTTCTTGATAAATCCTGCATACTGGTTTGTAACCTCTATTGGGAGGTCTCGATTTATTGTTAATCTTCTACGGTACTTGGTCGTTTTCGATGAATGCGTTTACGGAAAGAATTTATTGTCGGTTTTTCTACAGAAAAGAATTTTTCACTGCTACTTGCTGCGAACATAATATTATCATTTCAATCTTTACACATTTCTGTTTTGTTAAACGAACAATAACGGACCACCTCGTAAATCGTACGTCTTATTGTCACTCAGCTTATTTCTTCTAGTCGCGATTGAACTATCGTTAACGTTTCTTGCATGCACTCGAATCTTTATTTCAAAATGCAGGACACGCTGTCGCAATGTGGCGCTGCAGTCGCGTAATTTATCCGACAGGATTGTTCAGAGGAAATGTTACTTGTCGTGCGCAACGCGCGTTACTCGGGTACTTTAGGCTGTGCCAATTTCGAATCAGTCAGGTACCTGAAGTAGCGCGCGCTGCGGCGAAACTGGATCATCGCTTTTTTTCGCTGCAAAATTCAATTACTATCAAGACAAGAAGAGAAGAGAAGAAAAAATAATGGAAGAAGAAAAATGCGAATCTGGAAGAGAGGAGGGAAGAACTGGAGGCTGCATGTTAATTGTACTTCATCAGGTGCTCTGGTGAACTCGATACCCGGCACCTGTTGGAGCGCAATTCATATGACTGTGCCCTGCTACCTTATTTCGTCGTTGCAAAAAAAGATCGATCATCTTAAACGAGGATAAAACTTGAAAAATACAAATTCGATATGAAATTTTGATCGTTACGTCCAATACGAGGAGAATAATTATTGTAATACGAATGTTCAAATTTCGAATTCACACGTGACAATTGATTCACGAAAGATATCTATATAATTTATCGGAACGCAATTTATCGGTTGCGTATTTAAGATTCGCACAATGATTATAAGGAACGCGACTGAATAATCGAATTATTTCCTATTTCCTGAATATTACCGTCCGTTGAAAAATGCGATCGTTATTATCGATACAGTGTCGGTTAATGGGTGCGATTTAATTTTGAACACGATCCTCGTTTAATCGGTAAATAAAATTAACCGGCGCCCTGTTGTTACGTGGATGAAACATTGTTAGACGAGAGTATCGTTTCTCTCTCGATGGGCAAAGGAGAGGAACCGTAGCCTCGTAATGTCGCGAACTAATGGGATAATGACGTTACGTGGGGTCGCGTGGCAGCGCACCGAGCGAAAGAAACGAGAGAGAAGATAGAATGGGAGAAGGAGAAGGAGGAGAAGGAACCGGAGTAACGCAATTATTCATCTATTTGCACGGTTCCAATAGAAGCTTCAGAGCGTCGAAAAGTGCCTATTTGTAGTTACATTCTTTTTATTTCGGTCAATAAACTTCCAAACTTCTAGTCATAAAACCTGCAATGCGTGTCCGAGAAAACTTACCTTCGATCAATTGCAGTTCTCGCGTTTTAGTTTATTTTTAATTCGATATCTTTATGATCGCTTGTTATTTTAATGATTTCTTTTTATAGCAATATATCATCTATAATTTCTATTGGTAACACACATATGTATCGGTAACGATGAATCTTAAAAGATGTGATGAAGTTGCTCTGCAAAAGAAGTTTTATTTACCAAAAAATCATCACATTTTATTTTTAGTGAATGATATAATTTGTACAATATACAAATTATGATAAACGTGTCAATTTTTTCAATGCTTTAGTTATTATACCTAATAGATAAACATGCAAATATACGTAAGAAATATAATCTAGCATATATAATATATCTACAATTTGATATACGACACACCCAATTTTTAATTTTATCGAAAAAATTGACAACAGTTGGATAGATAAAGCATTGAATCATGTTGTGTCACCCGGCACAACACTTGATCAGTAAATATAACTAATGTCCGTGAAAGACACGTCTACACGTATGAAATAAATTAAAGTGGTATTAAGAGTCAATAGACGATGAAGAACCATATCAATAAGCTTTAAAAACCGACAGGTTATATAAAGACTCGTGTCCATAAAAGAGTTTTATATCGTATTTCCGGTTTATTAAAGACAGATTATGAACTGTCACCCACATTTAATTTTATGATCTTGTTCTTTTTTTTCTTTTTAATCGTTCGATATTTGTAATTATAATACAATTTTGGCGAATTGATGAATCTAATTTGGTATAAATTTGAAAACAAAAAAGAAATTTTGTTGATTACGAATAAATTTTCTTAAATTATAATATATAATCAAAATATCGAATTTATGAATTACATTATTAGAAAACTATCCATTCCATCATTCTTAAAACAAATGAAATTTTTAAAGTCAAAGAGAATTATAGTTTTTTTAATAACATATAAGTATATTCCTTATGCAAAACTATTCGAATAAAATTTTGCATAAGAAAAAACACTCGATTAATGGTAAAAATAACATTAGCATTAACGAAGTGTAAAATTCGATATTTTTGTTAATTCTGCAAAAGCGTATCTCATCTTTGTGTTGGAAAAAGGTAGGGAGAGATACATAAACATATATTGAAAATGTATACATCGTCGTTGATAAAAATTGTATTCTTATAAATAATATTGTACATCTTATACAACATACACGGTCATAAAATGTTTAATTTACAGATTGTTAATAGCTGACTCTTGGTCAACGAAGGGAACCATCGGTAGCCGAATAAACCTTGAAAAAAAAAATCTACAACAGTATTTGCAAGAAAAACTGAAACGTGACACAAACGTTCTTCCGCTGTAAATGATAAACGCGCAGTGTCTCTCAACTCGAATACTTGTATCAGTAATAACGAATAAACTTAATTAAAGAAGACAAACGAGAAATTCATTTCACTGATCGTATTTACGCGAGTGTGTGTGTGTGTGTATGTGTGTGTAAGCTTACGTGTACAACATTCATCCATTTCGTTATTCGAATTACCTATCCTTTTATGGTATTTCTCTACCATAACGTTATGATATATTTACGATCATTTGAAAACCTAAGAACGTTCTATCTAGATTTAAAAACATTAAAAAAAAAAAAAATGTTTTACGACGGTCACCTCAACTGGCATATCGGCGACTGTAGGAACGCGCCGTTTAAATTGATCCTGTTCAACCTTGACTCGATAGCTTTCAAGTTATTTTCACGTTGCTTAATGGGCTCGACCGAGGACGTCGGGCCTTTCGGTGTTCATCACGCTCGAAATTCTCCGTTTTGCAGTTCACCGTGTACAGTTCGCAAGCGCGATCAATAACGTATCTCTCGTTCGTGGGTCTCGGTTGGACCAGCTACAAGCAATATCGTCTAAATAGATTTCGAATAAAGAAATTTGTCCTGCCGAATATCCTGTTGAAATCGCATCGACTTCGCGCGACAGTTCGACGCTGTTACATATCATACGAACGACACGTAATCTGGTTAAAAATCATTTCTAAAAACAGCCACGGATTATATTCGAAAAATCGATGAACGAAACGACGCTGACAACGAACCGCAAGTTCTCGTCGTTTCTCGACCGAGGAAACTCGATCTCGGTCCGCGGGTGGCGATTCTTATTTCCCCATTATATGATTACGGAATAAGTAATTCGGGATGGGACATGATCGCTCGAAGGGATACTTGATTTCGAACGTATTCGTTGCCAATTTCCAATCGAAAATTTTCTCTCTCGAAAAAAAAATAGGATTCATTCTCGACGATTTCTCATAAATGTTTTCGTAAAATTCGAATCTTTCGATGGATCCTCACGAATTTTATCTCACGTATCATTGTAAGCGTGAAAACCGCGCAATGCAATTTCGAACGGCGAATGGGAACATCTTTCGAGAAAAAGGAGCACGGGAAATGATCAGAAGAAGAAGAAGAAGAAGAAGAAAGAGATCGACCACCGCCCTTGGTCGACACCGGTGAACGAGTGTGTAAGAGAGAGAAATAGAGGGGGAGGGAGAGGCCGTCGCCGTCGGCGTCGGCGTCATTCCGGGCTCCTGCTGCAAGCCTTAGTTCGAGGCGGAGGGCGTCTTGGGAGGCTGGAAGGGGTTCCATTTCAGACACTCCGGATCGATCTCTTTGTAGACGGGTCCTCGTCTCTTCACCCTCTCCTTGTAGTCGTCGATCACGTCCTGAAATTATTTCAACGGTTCTCCACCGGTTCGCTTCTCTCCTTTCTTTTTTCTCCCCCCTTCTTTGTCCCGGGACTCGACTTCCTCTCGTGGAAATCGTTCGTTTTTACCGAAACACCTCTCCAACAATCGCGTACCGGGGAAACGGTATCCTACACTTTTGATCCTTTGACGATTGACATTTCAACCCCGATTATACATTTCAACCCCTATTAGCATTTTACCTCCGCCAAGGCGAAAGACATCGAACGGAGGAGGAAAAGGGAAGGATCGTTCATAATCATGCGCAATACCGTTTCCCCATTGCGTAGCGAGTTGTGCGGGGTTGTTTGATTCCCTTCGTGGATTCCCTGTTCAACGTAATTTATGCCCGTATAACTTATATATATATATAAGTTTGAACGCGAACCTCGCCCGTGATTTCGTTACAAAATATTCGTGAACGATCCCTCTCTCTCTCTCTCTCGAGGTGGTCGCCATAAATCACGTGACACGATGACACGGAGCAGTTGAAAACGGGAAGGGGGAAACGCGAGACTCGCACGAGGGGAGAGGAGGAATCATCCCTCTTTCCGTTACGTCCTACTGGAAAATTAGAATCACAATGGACGACTTACCTGTTTCTTTAGAATGATGTGCTTCCCCTTCCAATACTTCATCATACCGAGGGCCTGCAGAGTGCTCACGATATCGTAGGAATCGATGGCCATCTCCTTGCTGATATCTGAAAGATATACAACACGCGAAAGCGCGTGACGAATGAATCGCTTTATTGAGGGTAGGGGGAGGGGGGGGGGGAGGGGAAGGAAGGCTTAAATGTCTCTCGAGTACGATCTCGAGTACGGTTTCGGTTCCGCGCCGCCACTCTTAAAATAACGCGTCTTGTAAATCGGTCAAAAGCGTGCAAAGGCGTGTGCTCCGGCATGGCCGGTATTGTATTACCTTTGACGGAGAGTTCCTTGCCCCCGAAGTTGCAGAGGTACTGCAGCAAAACGTCCTTCCAGTAGCTGCGATACGAGATCAAGCCCAGATCCGACAGAGGTTTTTCGGGGGAGCCAATCTTTTTCTCCACTCTGGTCAATAAGTAACCTGCGCAAAACGTGTATAAACGTTGCATATCATCTATTCGTCTCGTCCGCTAGGAATTTGTTCCTACGTGATCGATGAGGGAACGTGGAGGGAAAGAGGTCAATAGACGACAGGTGAAACGTTCACCGATCGATCACGCGAATATTCTAATCGATCGGACGATGACGTTCTCTCCCTCTCTCTCTCTCTCATCGTCGCGAGCCAATGAATTTCTCCGTTGCGTAGGACAATGCGGAGGATTTCTACGAGATTGTTATCATTTCCTCTCGTAATATCCTCTCGTTACTTTGCCCATTACATTACGCCCTTGCGCAGGGACCACTAGACAGACTATGAAATTCCAATTGCACGAGATACCGGTGGCCGTCGAAGCCGCATAGGTACAGAGACCATGCGCGCGTTCATGTGCACACACATAATACACGTCTCTATCCTGAATCGACGCCACCGCTATAAGCCATTTCTAGTGTCAGTGACCGACGAAGGATGAAATGCCGCGGCGCCAGTGCCGTATTGAAAATAATTTCAACTTCGCCTCGAACACGAATCTATCTCCTTCCGAACGAATCTTCACGAATAATATATCGAACGTGTACGCGTGAGACCAACTCGTAAAAAGAGAGAAAGAGAGAGAGAGAGAGAGAGAGAGAGAGAGAGAGAGAGAGAGAGAGAGAGATAAATAAAAAGAGAGAAAAAAGATTATTATGGGTGATTATTGATTAAATTTCCCACGTGATAAATTTTTCCGAAAGGAGATAACTCTGGGAACTCTTTTTTCGAGTGTACGGCACTGGCGATGTCCGGATGCTTCTGAAGTCTGGTTGAATGCCCGTCACGCCTCGTTTGCTCGATGCTGTATCCTACGATGCTGTACGATTCGCAGAAAAAAAAAATAAATAAATACAAAAAAAAAAAAAAAAAATAAAAAAAAGAAAAAATTGTTAGAACTAAAAGAGAAGAATTCGCGAATCGATTTCGAATCTGCTCCTACTTTCGGCTACTTTGCAATTAGACCATGTCCGATGGCGATACTTTCGGATTATCGAACCACGATATTCGAGTTTGGAAAGGGGAAACGTAGAATGGACGAACGAACTTATTCGCGACGAGCGAGTGGACGTTTAAGGTTTCTCATTCCTCGCGTATGAACTAATTAACTAATTAAATAAATTGCATCAGCGATGCGGGACTAGCCTAAAGAGATTTCTCCGTTTATGGGTCATCCGTTATATTTGTAAGAAGCAGACACGCGCGGCTTGTATTGATTTCGCATTGGTATGCCGTTACTCTTAAAAAGACACGCGAAAGCATTGATCCGAGAATATTCCAGCTTCGTCGTGCTCGTTTCAATGCCATTTAGCATAGGCAAGTTTAGCGTGGAAAGTGCATAAATGCGAAAGAACTCGTTTGGAAAAAAACGATTGATATATATATATATATATATATTGATATATCTGTGTTCTGGAAAACACTCAATATATAGTTTTACAAAAATAAAATAGTGCGAAACGGACATTTTTTTTTTTCTTTCACCGAAAAACCGATCGATTACGGTTCTATTTTACGCGTGAGATAGCGATGGTTCTTCCGTTTCTCAGACACGTCGATGTCGGTTTCCAGAACATCCGGAAACCGTAAAGTTCAACGACCAGCAGTGGCCAGGCGAAATCCTCGCGGAAGCATCTCCAGTGAACAGCAACGTTCCCGAAATAACCGCGGAATTCTCATTACCCGAATAATCGAGGTCGAGACGATAACAGTGTCTCGCGATTAAAGGGGAAAGAAAAAGAGGGAGAAAAATCAGACACAGACGGGAGGAGAGAGGGAGGGAAAAGGCGAGGAAGAGAGATCGTACAGCCAGGTGTCGGGTAAGAGAAGGTAAAAGACGGTAAAAGGAAGGCGAGACGATTTTTACGGAGTGTATCCGAGGTAGTCCATGAGGACCGGTCCTGTGCTGGGATTATTCCAGGATGTCCCGGAGGCTGAGGGGTTCAACGACCATCCTTTTCCTCCTCCTCCTCCAGACTCCTGAGCCAGCCGCACAGCCTTTCACGGACAGAGAGAGGACAGTCTATCCTCGCCACCCTCTCCCAATTCTTTTCCACCACCTTCTCGTTTCTCCTCCCTCCCTCCCTCTCCCTCTCCTCCTCTCCTCTCTCTTTCTCTCTCTCCCCGTTTTTCGCGTCCCGATTCTACTACCAGCACGCGCTCTCTGTTTCTGAGTGGCGCGACGATAGGTTTGGGAAGGCAGCGACGCATTCATTACGCGTTCGTTCAGTTTGCAGAGTTTTGGGATCGGCGCGGAACCGGTGGATGGGCGGTGGTTGGAGGTGGTGGTAGAAAATCGAGCACGAGGAGAAGGAACGGTGACTGGGAAGGACGGCGAGGGAAGAACGAGGAGGAGGCGAGAGGAGGAGGTCGAAGAGGAAGCGGCACTAGCGAGCCGTGGTAGTAAGCAGGGGAGGGTGGACGGACGGTTCGGCGTGACAGCGGCCCGATAGGGGAAGCTTCGTGGACTCTCGTCCCTCTCCTCCGCGTGGCGGCTGCCCTACGAGGAGGAAAAGGGCGTCGGTAGCCCTGCCTGCCAATCCTACGCCCTACGTGGCTCCCGTGGGGCGAGGTCATCGGAGGTCATACGATCGCGAGCCCTACGCCGCTTCCAATCGAACCAGGTGGAAATCGCTCTAGGGCCGAGCCGTGTTACCTCCCTGTTACCTGCCTCCTCCCTTTCCCTTTCTCCTCCTCGAGGCCCGAGGAGGAGGACGCGCAGGGTGTGTCCGACCAGACGATTCCGCTTAAAAAGTTCGCCAGTCCACCGATCGATCGCTCGTATCTGCTCGAACGTGTACCGAGATTCACGCGTAACATACATTTCCTCGGATGTTGTAGCACCCGCCACGAGACTTGCGAGCACGTGGCCCGCCTAGCAGCGTCTAACGCCCCGATTCGATCCCCGATAATCCGGCAGGGAACAAGAGACAGAGAGACAGAGAGAGAAAGAGAGAAAGAGAGAGAGAGCGCTTTTTCGCTTTTCACCCTCCTCTCCCTCTCCAGGTTTTATTCCCAGCCAAATTATAATTCTCCGTCGAACTTCGAAAACTAGGAATTTTTCCATGGAACAAGGTGCATCGGACACACCCCGCACGCTCACCAGACGAATCTCGCCCGCTCTCGTCTGTCTGTCCGCTCGTCTGTGTGTACGCGCGTACAGCATAAGCCAACAGCAGGTAGAGCGCGGCAACGGCTAACCGTACGGGGTTTATGTGGGGGTCGATCGATGTGGCGAGACGCCGGGCGTCGCACTTTCCGCTAACCATTCCACTCCAACCTACGTTCTCCACTATCCGTCACCACTACTACCACCGCCAATCTTCCCACCACCGTGCTACCATTTTACCACCACCACCACCACCACCACCACCACCACATCATAACCCGCCATCTCTAGCACCGGCAGCTACCACCACCGCCGCCGCCGCCGCAGCCGCCGCCGCCACCACCGAGTCCAAGTAACGTCTCTCGCGCCGCGGCGGCATCCCCTGCGGAAAACTTGGCAGGGCTAAACCCTCCCCCAACCCCTACGACTACGATTCCCAACGACTCTCGTCCACAGCATAGTACGTCGACCCACAAGCCCACCCACCCAGCCCCGTCCCTCCCTTCCTCCACCAGTTTGACGCGCTACCCCTACGCGCGCGACCCATACTGCTGCCTCGACTCCTCGGCATCAATGAAAATGACGTCACGGCAAAAAGCCCACGTTTAATTATCAACGCTACGCTTCGCGGTGTATACGCCCGGCCCGCTGCGGACTCCCGGAGAGGGCTTTCGAGTCGAGCGACTTTACGCCAACGGAGACGCTCGTAACTCACCGCCGTTGTACTCCCCCTCCTCCTCCATTTTTTCCTCCATTTTTTTCTTCCCTCCTCTCCTTTCCACCGTCGTTCTTCCCCGTCTCTTCCTCTCTCCCACCCACCACGTTGCAGACGCGCGTAAATAGGGGACAACCAAGAGAAACGAACCGTTCTCGTTTCTTTCTTTCTTTCTTTCTTTCTTTCTCGAATCGTTGAGGATTGAATCGAGAGAAACACCGGAGACACGCGAATCGATCGGCGTCTTCTCTCTCTCTCTCTCTCTTTCTCTTTTTCTCCCTCGCATCCTCGAACAACTCCTCTACGGTGTATATCTACTTTATCGTACCATTGACTCTGATCATTCCTCGTTATCGAATTAAACGAAAGAAAAAGTCGATCGCGCGATCCCCTCCCTCCACCCTCGTTCGTTTAAGATCTATATATAACAGACGGATATTGTTAACTACGAGGAACAAGGGATGGACAAATAAGCGTTTTTTTAAAAGAAGGATCGAAGCGTGGTTAAAGGCAATGTCGGGTTCGGGGCATGAGCCGCGGCGGCTGCGGTTCTTTAATGACGGAAAACCTGGACGACGAGAGCCTCGCTCGGGAGGATCGTCGAGGTTGTCCCGGTAGCGCGTGCCGGACAAGGCCTTTCAATCGCAGCGACCGCAACGTCGACGAGAGGCCACGCCACGGAAACCACGGAGGCGTTCCTACAAACTCCGGTTCCTAATTCGACCATCCTTTCGATTTCATTTGGACGGATGTCGTCATCCACCGGTCTCCTTGGTCGCGCCAAGGCTGACCGATTCGAGGAACCGCTCGGTAAAAAAAAGAAAAGAAAAAAAAAAAAAAAAAAAAAATCCGTATTCGACGCGACGCGATTGGTGGTATATACTCACTGAAGTCGATCAGCAGCCGGCCGTATCCCTGGCGTTGATAAGGTGGCAGAGTCAGAATGCAGGACACATTGTAATTCAGGAATGAATTTTTCTCCTGGAACAGAACGAATGGCAATGGTTACGATTAAATATCGTACAGATTTCTTTCAATGTCGATCGTTCGTGAAACGATGCTTGATTCATGATGCGTGTCGTTACTTAGATTACGGCCGCAAAATTACGATCCAAAAATCATTCATCGTTTCGACACGGTTCGAAATGATAAAAAGAAAAAAGAAGAAGAAGAAGGAAGAAAAAAAAGAAAAAAGGAAAAAAGAAACAAGGTCAGCCGTAAAATGGCATCCTCTTCCCGTTCAATGACGACGAGGCCGATACGACGGCTTGGTCGCTGCACCTCAAAGGTCGAAACGCAGCCCGTGTTCGAATGGAAAAGCGAAATAATATTTTCGTACGTAGGCACGGTTAACACACTCGACACGCTTCGTTCAGTCGGCTGCGTATGCAGCAGACACGATCGGCCGGTATTATGACGCGTTAACGCGTCGACGAAAATGCGTCGCGACCTTCGTCACGCGAAAACGCACAATGGGTTAGCAATATTTTCGATGACGCGACGTCTCGCTCGAAGGAAGGCGTAATATGTTTTATTAAAACGATTCCACCTCCGTCTTCGCCGAACGCGGTATTCGATATTCATCGGAAAGGGACGAATTCGATCGATCGGAACGAAAACGGGCGTATTAACACGATGAAAATATCCCATTTTAAATATATATGGCTCGCGTCGAACGTGCGCGTCAATTTTTCCACGGGATATATTTTTATAGTGGCGCACCGTGACACGGCCGTTTCGTATACACGGTGTAAGTACGGTGCGTAATACGCGTTCTACGTGTATCGCTGTGAACGGCAGCTTAGATAAACCTCGCGTGAAATTACAATCTACATCTAAATTCATGGGAGCGTAATCCGAATTCGAAGCAAGGAAATCGCGATACCGCGACACGTGGACGAGTTTACATGCTCGGCTCCCGCTCCCGCTTCCGACTTTTCGATCGTCCAAACGTTTTCCAACGTGCAAATTTGCGCGGTAAACGCACACGTTGCACGAAGGAGGTCGAAAATCGGGGGCTTTTCGAGCGAGTTTAATTTTCCTTCGATGAGAAATAAAATAAAATAAAAGAAAAAAAAAAGAAAGGAAGAGAGGAGGAGAAGGGGAAACGGCGAATATAAAGAGCGTATATTACGGCAGAACCGGTAGTCGCGGCAAATCGTATCACAGGAAGCCGGTCCCGTCGATAGATAACGGCCGTCAGTGGGATCACAAAGTAGAAAGTAAAAAAATCCCTCTTCGATCCTTTTACGTTGAAAAGAAATGGTTGCGCCCGCTCGGTCTCTCGAAAGGTTGGATCATCATATCTAGCCGTGCTCGCCTCTTTCATACGAGTTCATTTTTCATCGAAAACCGCGAGCGGGGATGCTGGATGTAGAAATCAAGGTTTCCTTCCAAGGTCGAATACATTTGGCCGCGTCGAAAATTACGGGGTTCTGCGGGCTTGATCGTTTCGGGGCCGTAGAATCCTTCATTAACCATTCTACGCTCCTCAGTCCCATTTCGTCGGGCAACAGCGGACCCAGTATGACTCGAACACCCGGTATTTCCGGCCGTGGCAGCCGTGCTGTTGCTAACTGGCGAGTGGGGCAGCAACGGTTCGAAGGACACAAGTCGAGAAGACTCGCCCATGCTTCTACGGACCCGTCTCTACGCATTACATATATATATATATTTTATATATATATATATATAAAACTTTCTACGTATGTGTTCGCGTTGCTCGTAGGATGGGAAAGAAGGATCGTATACAGGGAGCAGAGACGGAGAGAGGGAGGGGGGAAAAAAAGAAGTGTGGTCCCTATGAACGTGTATCGTAGGTAGTCATCTCGATAGATCGACCGGTAGATCAATTGCTAAAAAGCCGAAGACGAGAGATATGCCAATCTATCTTGGGATGAACTTTTAGAGAGACGAAGATACGTGGTGAAAGAAACATGGTCGTGATGTGCGAGCGTGGAGAGTGGGACACGATGAAAAAGGAAGAGAGAGAGAGAGAGAGAGAGAGAGAGAGAGAGAGAGAGAGAGAGAGAAAAGCGCAGAAGAGTAGAATCTGGGCCCCGCGACGTCCTTGGGCCAGTAGTCTCTGCTCCACTCAGGGACGTCTCCGTGTCCCCACCATGCGAGAGTTCCACTCGAGAAACCCTCTTGCACATCGCTTTTCCTCCTTTTTCCCACTTTTTTCGTCCACGTCTCCAGTCCCCCTTCGCGGAGAGGAGGCTGCCGACGACGAGACGATTCGGCGAAATCGATCGGCCACACCGACTCGAGTCACGTCGTCGCGAAACGAGCCGTGTCTCCTTGAGTCTTTCCACTTAAGGAGAGGAAAATCGGCGGCATTGATCGATTCAAGTTTGACTCGCTCGAACGGATACGTTGACTCCGTTCGCGAAACCCCTCCCCTAATTTTCGGGACGCGAACTTCGATACGAAAACGCGATACGTTTATTCGGGTCAACGCAGAGACGAATCCGCTGCCGCTACAGCTTCTTTTATATAGATATATAGCGTGCAGGGTAATCGATACTCGGCCTCGTCGCGTCTCCTTTCATCCACGAAACGCGGATACGACGCGCCGCGCGGATACAACAATCGCGGCCAAGTGAATTTGGCCGAAAAATCAATCGTCAATCTTTTCTCTCTTTCTTTTCTGATTGAATCCCTTCGAACGGTCGACGAGAAATTATCCGAATCGGATAATAAAATAAGAAATATGAAAAACGCGCGACCGCTTCGACAAATTAAACGCAAATCCTCTCGCGATTGGGGACGATCGGTATAAATTTGTCGGTTTCGAGTCGCGATTACTCGAGCTTCGTATTCTCGATCGAATCTTTCCAATTGTTTCTCGCTGCTCGCAGGACGAAGAAGCAACCGGCGAATCAAGCGGCGGCGGCGGCGGCGGCAGGAGGAACGATGATAAGGAGGAGCCTACGTGGAACGTAGGAAAGAAGGATCGGAACCGCGGTCGTTATCGATCGCGGCCGTGGCCACGGAAAGGAGTTCTGTGCCGCGATGTGGCGTGACGGTGATCGCAAAAGGCTTTCAATCGGTCACTATCCCCCTTCCTGCGCGTCATCGTCGCGCCATAAAGTGGCTGCAAGCTGGCACACGTGCGACGATACAGGCATCGGAACGCGACGCATAGGCGAGACGTCGTCGGTGCGCGGACAGAGAGATATACACACGCGTAGGTGAACGAACGTCTACGTGGCGGAGTAACGAGACCCGGCTAATAATCCTCTCTTTTCCTTTCTCCCTTGGCCAACTTGTCGCGACGTATAACTCGTTCCCTCTTGCGACGCTCTTTGCCCGTTTACAGGAATCCCAAGAATTTTCACCAAGAATTTTTCAATAGATCGTACATTCTCTTTTCTTCTTTTTCCTTTTCGTTTCTTTTTCTTTTTTTGGGAGGGGGGGGGGTGGGTTACCGTAGGATGGATGGGGAGAGGATCGATCGAACGATCGTTCGATTGGCATTATTTATTCAAGTTGCTCTTACGTTTTCATCTAGCTCGTGAATTATTCGGTGATGCAGAGGCGCGGTGTGAACGCCGCTTAAAGGTTATACAGCTCCTCGCGACGGTCACTTCTATATTTAGATGCACCGAGTTTCCTCCTCCACTTTCTTTATACCGAACAAAGCGTTCCTCTTAACATACGGGGTGTACGCGAAGTTCCGTGTGCTTTGTAAGAAGGTTGGCACGCGAGAGATTAGTTACTTTTACGAGTTCGCCTATAATAGAACATCGAGTCACTTTAAATACACTCGTCGAAGATGTTTCGAAATTAAACGTTGAAGGAAATTCTCCTTCTCTGTGCGCCTAAAAATTATGATTTATCTCAGATTATGAAAGGGGGGAAAAAAAAAAAAACAAAAAAAAAAAAAAATATAAAAAATACAAAAATATAAAAAATATGAAAAAAAATGAAAAAAAACACGATGGAGAAACTGGGGAATTTTCGATCGAACACGTCTCGATGAGGGCTGTCTCGAGGGACGTTGTAAATTTATCAATGGCAGGTACTCGGAAAAGCAGAGGGTCCAACGGTTCCACGGATTATCCTTGGCGCACCATCGACCCTCTAAATCCAAAGAGAAATTGTCACGACTCCCCGATAGCTCCCCCCCCCCCCGCTTACCCATCGTCCCCAGCGCGAAAAATTTTGCGGACTTATTAATTATCCTCGACCCTTCGCTCCCCTGGCTCCTTTCGAGCGAACACCGCTTTCCTTTTGGACCGAACCCAAAGCGCGTTCGACCGTTCGTTCCTACGCTCGAGACCCCTTGTACGTGTGTTTTCTATACGTATACGCGTAACGTTTAACGATAAATCGATCCAACGAACGAAAAGATTCCTCGTCCGACCATTAAAAGTGGAAACATCTGTTTGGATTAGAATAGAATAACTTTCGTAACTGGGATAAAAAAAGAAAAAAAGTAGATCGAAACTTTTGTCGTTTATAACCGAGTATAGACGAGCTTTTAACGCTAACAATCTCAAGTTTGAAGTCGATGACTATAATCAAAGAGCCATAGGATTCCTTGGATACCTTGTTCGTCGTCCCTTCTCCAATTTGATTGTCGCGTTTGAAACGAAGACGAGCCATGGGTGGGATGGAAAATTTCGAAGTCGCCATTTCGTGGCTAGAACAATAGGCTTTTATACGATCACATGGTATTGTGGAAAGGAAAGTTGTGCGAAGTCGATATCTGATCAATGCCCGGCGACGATGTCTATTAATTCCACGGACGGAGTGTCGAACGAAGTTGCTGACGTATGCGTGTTTTAATCCTACTCACGCACAAGCTGTACGGGTATAGAGACGCGGCGTGGACGTCAAAGACGTAGCTAGAAACGGCCGGAACACGAGCTTTCCCCTCGAGAAATGTATTTTTGTCATTGCCTCGTACCGTTCGCTAATCTCTCTAACTCCGTTGACATACATGGACTCGCGTACCGCGTATAACTCCATTTCTT